TAAGCCCCAAGGTCCTTAAATCTTGTTTGTTTTTTGGCAGAACCCAGGATTGAACTCAGGCCCTTATGCTTGCCAGGCAAGCACTTATCCTACTAAGCCATCTTCCTGGCCCCAAAACAGCGTTTTTGGGTTTTTTTTTTTTTTTTTTTTTTTTTGAGGAACCAGAGATTGAACTCAGACCCTTGTGCTTGCCAAGCAAGTGCTAACTCCACTGAGCCATCTCCCTGGTCTCCTGTATATGGCTTTATAACATGTAATTCTTAAAGTAAATGCTGATGGGCCTGGGCCCCTACCATGTTCCACCGGGTCATCAGGACAGCAAGTCAGCATGGCGGTCACCAAGGCGTGGCGGTCCTAAGTACGACTTGCTGCTCCTAGAATAACTTCTATCTTCTTCCCCACTTGGCCTCAAATGTCCTCTTTTGTTTTCTGTGTGCCAACCCTTCCCCAGACCCTTCCCCAATCTGGCAGCACCTGTTACTGTGCCTAACCACCCACACAGGCTCCACCCCCAGCCCGGCCCCATAAATTCTGTGTCTCCCCCACCCCACCTCCTGGAGGTTTCTTGCATTCTTTGGCAGCCCTCCTGCACAGGGCAATAAAGGGTATCTTTACTTCTCTTCTGTTTCTCTTTTTTGCACCAGAGAAAGGAACCTTCTAATACTAACAGCCAACAAAACAGAAAATATCTTAAAAACTGTACACCTTCATGTTTATCAACCAAAATGTTTCTCACATATTTGCTCTAAAAATTTTAAATACTTTCAAGCTGAGTGTGGTGGTGCACGCCTGTAATCCCAGCATTTGGGAGGCTGAGGCAAGAGGATCACTGTAAATTCAAGCTAAGTCTGGGGTTAAAAAGTGAGTTCAAGACTAGCCTAAACTGCATAGTGAGACCTGGCCTCTAAATAAATAAATAAATAAATATTTTCTTTACAGAAAATTTGGCAATATGATCACTGTAACACTAACCTTTCTCAGCATTCATTAACTATATTTTAATTATAGAAAGTATCTTTCCTTTGAGACTTCTACACTTACCTCTTTTTTAGGACGATCAGATACAAGGCTGTCTTCACCAACTGGGTAGGTATGGATCAAGACCAACTCACATTTTTGGATCTGCATGAGACTTTAAAGAGAAACTTCTCAGTCACTATATCTGATATAAACAATTCAAACAGGTAAACTACTAAGAACTTACTATAACTAAAAAAATATTGCTACAATCAGCTGTTACTGCTAACAAAAGCTAACTAGTTAGTGTATAATTGTTGTGTTTAGATTTAACATTTAATGAATACACAAAAATATAAATTCAATATATTAATATATATTAAATCTTCTTCTGTTAATAATTTTTAAGGACAAATTAAGAAACAATAACCATTACCTATAATAAAATCCAAGACTACACAATTAGTAAAGCTAAAAAATTTTCCCCAACATTTTGAAATTTCCAGACCTTAAATTAGACATGGTGGGCAACACCTGTGACACCAGCACAATGGGATCCCTGAGGCATCAGGACCACACCTTTGAGCCCAGTCTGGGCAACTTAGTGAGATTCTGCCTCAAGATAAAAAAATACAAAAGGGCTGACGATGTAGCTCAGTGCAAACCCTCTGGATTCAATTCCCAGCAACACACACAAAGAAAAATTTCCAGACTTACTAAAAAGATGACAATATAATATTCAGTGAAGACGATACATCCTACATTTTACATTACATATATTTACTGTTAGCTTTCTTTATATATACCTGATAGACAAAGAACACTTTTTTTCTTTTTTTTTTTTTTTTTGCAGTACCAGGGATTGAACTCAGGACCTAGTGCTTGCCAGGCAGGTGCTTATTCTACTGAGCTATCTCCCCAAACCAAGAACACTTCTAAATACTTAAGAATGCTTCTCTTAGTAAAATCAATCCATACAAAAGATGTGGTATTTTTATACAGTGGAGTACCACTCAGCCATAAAGGATAAAACTGAGACTTGTATAGGTAAACAGATGCAACTTGAAACCATACACCTAAGTAAAATAAATCAGACTCACAAGTGTAAACATTGTATTTTTCCCTGGTGTGAGATACTAAAAGAGGAAACAAGGTCTAAAATGTACAACAGATACTGTAAAATGGGAAGGAACTGTTCAAAAGGGACAAGGACCTAGAATGGGTGAAAGAGGAAAGGACAGAAGGGAATATGCTAGTCAGCTATATACTACTGGTGTCTTTTAGCTCATTAGAAAGGAAAGTCTGTGCTAATATTCTAACAGAAAATGTCTCCCCTCCCCTCACACCAGCACACTTCAGTTTCTCAGTTGCTGCTTCAGATCCGCGTGCTTGTCTCTTAGAAGCGGCTGATGTACATAACTGGTCACTATGACACACACTGTATACACCCATCCCCAATGGACAAGCCATTCTGCCTCTGTACCTCATGCCTGCTTATCCCACCAAGCCCTAGGCCGCTGGAGATGGGGGCATGACATTGGGGGGGCGTGACACTGGAGGGCATGATCCCAATCAGTGCCTGCTGATGTAAATCAATCTGCCTTCAAATCCAAGGTGTCCGTTTCAATATTTCTACTTGCTGTTGCAATACTGATTGGAGAAATTTTAATTCCCATCTTGTACTCCGGATAACTACTTTAAAGAAAACAATACGCAATGTATTAGCTATCGTTATTCTCTTACTAATCTGTTATGGAAACTTTTTTCACTAAATAAATACAGAGAGGACTTCACACCAGCCTAAGAAAGAACGATCCTACTCAACACTAATACGATCCTACTCAACACTAATACGGGGGCCTGGCCCTTAGCTCAGTTCTTTAAGTGGCTACTTCAACAAAGCAGGCAGGCTCAGGTTGCTGTGGTTCAATCCCCAGAACTCAAACCAGCCAAACCTGCCCTGAAGGCATTCAGAGCCCCTCCCCCCCCCAAAAAAAAATCCTTCTGCCATTTGGGCCAGGGAGATGGCTCAGTAGAATAAGCACTTCCCTGGCAAGTGCAAGGGCCTGAGTTCAATCCTCGATTCCACAAAAAAAAGGGGGAAAAAAACCCAACACTAATACTACCATCTAAACTATGAAATCTAATAACCAGTCAATCTAAATCATAGTACCCATATTAACTCTCCAAGCATATCCATCCTAGCTGTGATATAACAACACACACCTGACCTCTGTCCTCAGGTTTCTGGACAGTGCTCCTGTAACTTTTACATTCCTAGGAAATAGGAGTGCCAACACTGTCTCTTGAACTAATACTTAATATTTGCTCTTTGACCTGGATTCTGGATAGACAACTCCTAAATTCTTTGTAATCTCCTATGTCACAGTATTTTTTGTGCTAATTGGATAACTGCTGTGATTTTCCAGAGCTTCTGCACAGGGGCGTTCTCTCTAGAACGATCAAGGGATACCTGATAGCATTTACCCCACCATACCATCCTCCAGGAAGGGAAGGGGCCAGAGGATGCAGTCATGCCTTCATGAAGCCACCCTCAGAGACCTTCCAGCCGGGTGAACATGTCCAGGTCCAGAGAGGGCCACATCCCCCAACTCCACAGGCACAGAAGCTCTTGTCGCTGGGACTCTTCTGGACCTCCTCTTATGAACTTCTTCACCTGACTATTCATCTGTCTGTTATGGCTGTGTCTAGATGACCCCCAATCCCTTATGTGCTCCTAGGTGGGCTTTTCCAGAAGTGCCTGGATCTAGAGTGTGTGATTGATTCACAGTGCAGTGCTAGGAACAAGGATGCTAGGATGATGGTGGGTGATGACCAAATCAGTCCACTGATTGGTTTGGCACTGCCCTAATACCAATAGCCTGGGTACAATAGAAGGGGCAGAAAGAGGCATGTCTTGCCTTGTGTGTGTGTGTGTGTGTTTTAGGGAATGGCCTACAGGGTGTTCAGGGTCTCACTACTAGATCGAACTCGTAGTGATCTGCCTGTTTATAGCCTCCCAAGTGCTGGAATTACAGGCATGCACCACCACACCCAGTCTCACTCACTGTCTCAGCATACCCTAGGGGCAGGGCCAGTATGGCAGGCCAGGGGATGGAACCCCTAGCCCCTGCACCTATTTGCAGGCACTTTAATCCGCTGAGCTATTTGGTCAGCCCTTGTCTTGCTTCTTGCTTGCTTGCTTGCTTTTACTGTCTTCTGCTTACCATTAACTGGTTCTCTGCGGTACCCCTCTGCCAAGTCACTCTGCCTTGGAGCCAGCCAATGATGGACTGAAACCTCTACAAACTGTTAGCTAAACAAACAAAACTTTCCCCTTTTAATTTTTTTTTTTTTTTCATTTATGTATTTTGATACAGGGTCTCACTACATAGCTCAGACTCATAATTATCCTCCTGTTTTCAGCCTCCCCAGTGCTGGTATTACAGGTGTGCACCACCATGCCCGGACTTGGTCGCCAGCTCAACAGGCCTGGAGGTGGGGCCCACAAGGCATGCAGGGCCAGGGATCGAACTCCTGTCCCTATGCTTGCCAAAGTAGGTGCTTAGACCCCTGGGCTAACTCGTCAGCTGTCCCCTTTAATTTGGATACTGGCTATTTTGTCTCAGCAATGAGAAACTAAGACACTATCTTTTTTCTTATCCTTTATATAATGAATCAAGAAACTTAAGAGCTCGCTTATTCTGTGAGGCATTTTGGAAATGTCCCTGTCAAACTTATAACTGGAAAACTGTCAAAATGAGGGGGTCAGGAGAACTTGTGATTTTTAGCTAAGTGGGACAGATATGTGAATAACCTGGGGGTTCTACCTGAGACTGATATTACTTGAGACCAGTGTGACAAAGCTGGGAATGAGGGGTAATCTTGTGGGACTGACCTCCTCATCTGTAGGTCTGCACCAACTAGGTAGGTGTCATAACTGACCTGCAGAAAACCTGCTGGGCTCTATGAGCAGGAGAACTGTTTGGCCTAGGGGAAAACGCACATATTTGATCATGCACAAATACTAGTATGAATGCAAAGGAAAAAAAGTTTTCCTTTTCAATAGCTTTTACTACATTGGTTTTTTAGACAGGGTCTTGTTGTTCAGGTTGCCCCAGAGCTGACACTAGTCCAGGTTGGCCTCAAACTTGCAGCGGTCCTCATCCTCGCAGCATTCCTGCCTCTAGAAGAGTGGGATTACCAGCAAGGGCCACTCTGCCTGGCCTATCCTTTTCAGTAGTTGTTAGTTTGTTCAATTCACAATTATGTTTTGATTTGGTATACGCTGAATAATGCTACCCACAATTGGCACATTTTATAAATTTATGATATAGATTATGTAACTAAATCATTAAAACATACAGACCGTTATTTTATCATTCTGATAATTTTATTTATTTATTTATTTATCACTACCAGGAATTGAACCCAGGGCCTTCACATTGAGCTCATTTATTATTTTTAGAAAAGATCACACTAAGTCACTAAATTATCTAGGCTTGTCTTTAACTTGTAGTCCTGTCTTGGACTCCCAGCATGCTAGAATTACAGGTCTGTACCACCACACATGGTTCTAATCACTTTCTCTCTGGGGACAAAAAATAAAATCTAAAGTACAAGGGAAGGGCCAGTGAGATAGCTCAGCGATCTAAAATGCCTCCTTAGGCAAGCGTGAAGGGACTGCAGTTCAATCCTTGGCATCATGTGCTGTGCCAGCTGCACCCTAGGGTGGGCAGAGCTGGCCACCAAAAAAAAAAAAAAAAAAAAAAAAAAAAAAAAAAAAAAAAGTACAAGGGCAAATGGGAAAAAAAGGCTTCTAATCAAGCTTACTTTTGGGTTTTTGTTTTTTTTTTTGGCAGAACGGGGGATTGAACTCAGGCCCTTGCACTTGCCAGGTAAGTGCTTATTCTACTGAGCCGACTCCCTGGCCCCTTTTTTGTGTTTTTGAGACATGGTCTTGCTATGTACTTCAGACTGGCCTTGGAGTCACTATGTCGCCCAGGCTGGCCCTGAACTCACAGCAATCCTCCTGCCTCAGCCTGAGCGCTGGGATTAGAGGTGTGCGCTATTGCACCTCGGGCTCAGACTTACATTCTGAGGTATATTTGTTGAGTCAGTACAAAGTTTAAGGAAGTATATAATCACATTAGAATTGAAATAATTCTAGTAAACACTTATAATATGAAGTTGAAGATGTTCACTTCACAGATGGATTATACTCACTGATCTGAATTTGCAGCAAGCTTGTTATGTTCATGAATTGTTTCCTGGACACAGTCTTCAAGCATACGTACATGACTATCACTACGGTGTAAAAGACACATAGCAAACTTAAAAGGATAAATAGCAAGAAAAAATAAGACACTATTCAATTGCACTATCTTTGAAAACTGAAAATTAGTTTAATAAGGAGTGCCTCTAGTGTGTTCATTTATAACACTAAATAAATAGCTGAAACACTGGATAGAAAAAATAGTCAAGCTGATTTACATGATGGCAATCTTGAATAGTTTCCACTGAGATGATTCTTTAGAACTGATTGATTAAACAGTCTCAGTATTAAAGAGAAAAAAAAATTTCAGAAAGGCCACTTGTAATATGCTGAAATGTTTAATGCTGTCCCTCTTTGTAAAATAAAAATCACATCAGGAATTTTAAATTTCTTCAGTGAAAAATAATTACATATTAGCAGCCCACCTTTTAGCATTAGTAATGCAAATGATTCTCCCCCTATTTCCAACACGTTCTGCATTCTCCATGAGTAGAGTTCGGGCTTCATGCTGGTATTCAGTGATTTTGCACAGGGTTTCCACCGCTGCAACAAGACCATGCAGGATGCTACAGCACTCTGGATCTGCCCGCGGGTTAGGAGGTCCGACAGCAGCTAACGCTGCCATGAGCTAAGCAGAAGGAAAGACAGTTATGTTGACAAAAGCATTCACACCTCAGGTGAAAACATAACCAGAAAACTGTCAAGCAGGATATTTTACAAATACAGGCAGAATCAACTGAAGAAAATGCTGGCAAACCGAACCTAGCAATACTCAAAGGAATTATATGCTGTGGTCAAATGGGATCTGCCCCAGGAATGCAGAATTGATTTCATATCCCCAAACCAATTGACATCACATCAAAGCAATAAAAAATAAAAATCCCACAATCATCTCCATTAATTAAAAAAAAAAAAAAAAAAAAAGCATTTAACAAAATCTAAGAGTAGTTGAGGACAGTGGTGCATATTTGTAATCCCAGCACTCTGGAAGACTGAGGAAGGAGCACTCAGAGTTGGAGTCCAGCCCGGGGAACTTAGCTAGACCCTGTCTCTAAAACATGAAACAAAAACCCTAAAGCCCTTCATGACAAAAACAAAAGAAAAAAAGCAAAGAAACTCAACAAACTAGAATTAGAAAGGGATTTCCTTGAGCAGACTGATAAAGGGCAGCTATAGCAAGTATACAGACCGTATCATGCCAAATGGTGAAAGACTACATGTGTTCCCCCTAAGAAGATACAAACAACCTGAAGAAAATGCTGGCAAAACAAACCAAGCAACACCCCGTTACATCAAATGGGATTATATGCCATGACCAAATAGGATTGGCTCAGAGATGCAGAGTTAATTTCATATCCCAAAATTAGCTACAATACATCAAAGGAATAAAAAACAAAAGTCAATCATCTCTATGTCTACTCTTACTACTTTATTCAATACTCACTGTAAGTTCTAACCAGAATAATAAGGAAAGAAAAATAAGAACCCAGATTATTAAGGAAAAACCAAAACTCCCTATGTTGCAGATAGATTATTTAAAGAAAATACTGAAGAATCCACTAAAAACTATTATAAGTAATAAAACTGCTTCAGTAAGGTTACAGATGAACCATACAAAAATAACAATAATTACATTCGCATTAGCCTCCAAAAGAATAAAATACTTAGGAATAACTTTAACAAAGGAAACAAAACATTCTGAAAACTACAAAACACTGTTGAAAGAAATTAAAGATCTAAATAAACAGAAGATTTCCCCATGATAATAGGTTAAAAGAATTAATATTGTTAAGATAGTAGTATCACTCAAACTGCACACTCAACATAGTTCCCATCAGAATCTCAGTTGACTTCCTCTAGGTTTCTACAAAGCAGATTTTGCTGATCAGCTAGCAAGGAATTACATGGGGCTGCATGGGACCCAGAATGGCCAAAACAATCAAAAAAGAGCAAAATAGAAGGAACCACATTATCTGATTTACTACAAAGCAATGGGAACCAAGGCGTGGGTGCTGCACAAGGACAGACATAGAGATAAGAGGAACAGAATTAATAGTTTAGAAGTCATTTATGGTCAACTGAGTTCCAACAAGCATACCAAGATCATTCAGTAGGGCAAAGAATAGTTTTATTTTTAACAAAATCATGGTAAGGGACAACTAAATAGCCAACTGCAAAAGAATTGAGCTAAACGCTTGGCCTCAAATTCTGAATAAAAAAGTGGCTCAAACTAAATTCAAGAGCCAAAGCTATAAAACTCAAAGGAGAAACATTTTGCTAAATCTTTATCATCTTGGACTTGACAAGATTCCCAAAAAGAAAACAAAGTAATTTGGACTTGATCAAAATGAAAACTTTTTGTGCTTAAAAAGACACTATCAAGAAAGTAAAAACTCAATCCATACAATAAAGAAAGTCTAAAAATCAGCCATTTAACCAGGGCCTGGTCATCCACAGTACATGAAGAACTCTTGCATCTCAGTAATAAAATGACAAACTGACTAAAAAGTGGGTAAACGATGTGAGCAGATATTTTTTAGGAGATATACAAGTGGTCAATGAACACTGAGGAGACGTTCAACACTGTTAGCCACTAGAGACATACAAATGAAAAAACCACAGCAAGGTTATACTCAATAGATTGTCTAGAACATAAAAATTGGATAGTAAGTTTTGGTAAGCATATGGAGAAATGAAAATATTCACTGTCTGTTGGCAGGCGTGTAAAGTGAGACAACGCATCAGCAAATAATTTGGAAGTTCCTCAAATATTAAACACAGGTTTCTATAATGGCAAGCAATTCCACTAAGTACATGCCCAAAACAAATGAGACATACTTTTTTTATTGGTCTTTTTGAGACAGGTCCTCACTATACTATTCAGACTGGCCTTGAGCTCACTTTGTAGTCCAGGCTGGTCTCAACTTCACAACAACCCTCCTACCTCAGCTTCCTGAGTGCTGGGATTACAGGTGTGTACCACTACACCCAACTGAGACATAATTTTGACACAAATATATATATATATATATGTTTATAGCTACATTATTCATAACACGCAAAAGGTGAAAACAATCCAAATTAACCTACAAAAAGAAATAAAATGTAATATATCCATGCAATATAATATTTTTCAGCCATAAAAAGAACATAGCTGAACAGTGAAAACATTGTGAATGCTCAAAGAAAGCAGTCACAAAAGACCCTATATATTCTAATAAACTCACATTTGATGGGATTGTTTCCACTGATGAACACCCATTAACGGACAAATTTTAACATGAAATAATTGAAATAGTGTATTTAAATTTTTCATCAGTCCCTTTCTTACGTTGTTCATATTTGTCAGTGTAGACTGAAATTTTCTCTCCAATAAACAACAGCAAACATAAGCACTCAGTAGGTCAATATTCTTAAATGATATTAACAAAAAAATTTTAATAAATTTGGCTTAAGTTTATTTCTGCTCCCTTCACTAAGACCAAGTCATTTTAAAAAGCAAAAATTTACAGATGAAGAAAACAGGAGGGGTTAGAATAAAAAATAAGAAATGAGAGAGATGTCAACAAGAATTATAAAATCAATGAGGAAATGGTAATGAACTTAACAGGACTGACTGAACATGCTAAAGCCTAAGTGCCTAAGGAGGAATAAAAAGGCAGAAAGGTATACCACACACATCTAAGTCTGAGAATTGGAAGCACCAAATACTACACAAAACAGGTGGAGCAAGATACAGAAAACTACAAGTAGCTCAAAATCAAAATAAGGCATAAGGGCTGGCCAAATGGCTCAGCAGATTAAAGTGCCTGCAAGCAGGTACAGGGGCCCGGACTTCAATCCCTGGGCCTGCCGTGCTGACCCACCCCTGGGGTGCACTGAGACAGAAATTGAGACTGGGCATGGTGTTGTGCACCTGTAATTCCAGCTCTTGGGAAGTTGTAAACAGGAGAATCACTACAAGCCCATCCAATCTACTAGTGAGACCCTGAGCACCTTCCCCCAAAATACAATAAATACATAAATAAATAATAAGATATAATTTCACTGCAGATCTTACACCTTTAACCCATCCAAGTGACCACTTCTTCCTGACTATCAGATACAGAATCAGATTACTCAAACCAAAGATACCAAGCATGGCATTACAAAAGCACAGCAGAGTAAGGCTAAGGTACCAGGCTAACCTTGCTGTTATGGCTTGTGTCTAGGTGTCCCCCCAAAGCCTCATGCAGTCTTGGGGCAGCTTCTGGAGTTTGTGATTGATTATTGGGGGTGTGGATGCTGCACTTGCCCTGGGGCAGGTAATTTGCATTACAATGTCAGGAGGGAGGAGAAGCTAGTTGCTTGAGCTAGCTTCTTGCTCTTTTCCACTGCCATGAAAGGTTGCTCTCTGCCTTGTGCCGTTCTGCCTTGGAGCCAGCTGAGTATGGACTGAAACATCCAGTAACTGTGAGCTAAACAAACCTTTCCCTCCTTCATTCTGGGTGTCAGGTATTCGTCCCAGCAACGAGAGAAGAGTAATTCAGACACCTGCCAACAAAACTTCCTGTGGTAATGCAATGTTCTCTGTCCTACCCAATACAAGAAGCACTATCTATGTGGGGCTTGTTGAACATCTGAAACATTAGACTAGTGCTGCAAAGGAAGTAAATTTTTCATTTAATTTTTAAACGTAAACACATGTGGCTAGTAGCTACTATAGTAGACAGCAAAGTATTAGGGCAAAAACACCAAGAGTAAATATAATCTGAAAATCTGCCTCTTGAAAGCTTCCCAGGCTTCCGATTTGATTTGAAACTGTCTCACTGCTATCTGTTTATCAATAAAATTTTGAAAAAAAAAAAAAAAAGAAAGCTTCCCAGAAGGTTACCAGCCAAGTGTACAACACACAGGTGGAAGAGCGGAAGGTCTTTTCTGGAGCCCTGAAGGTCCCAGAGGGATTATCTGCTCACCCCAACCTGCTCATGCGTACCTGGAGGCTCCTCATGAAAATAAGTGATTTAAAGCCAGTGAAACCCAGTCAGCAATGTCTATCCCAAAACAGATTTTTTAATCTGCCACTTAGTGTCCTGCTTTTAAATAAGATTACATAGTCAAATGTCAGCAGGCATTTTTTAAGCCTCAACATGAAAAGAATCTTTAGAACAGAAGTTTCAAAAGAAAATTTCAAATACAACACAATTAATACCCTCAGGTAAAAGAGATTCTACCCATGAAACGAACAAACAAAAGAGGATATGACAATTAAAATACAATCAAATAAAATTTCCATGTAAGGGTTAAAAAGCTTAAAAACTAACAAGAAGATGCTCAATGATAGATTAAATTTAATCTAGGAAGTCCAACATACCACTAGAAGATCTTCTAGAAAGATACAGAGATTAAGATCATTACCACAGACACAACATAAAAAATTTTAACCAACTTTTCCTGTATAATAAGTGAGGAAAAGATCCACTACAATTTACCACTGAAAACACTAAGATAAAGGAGGAAAGAAAAGATCCTGAAAACTGTCAGAAGTTATGAGGAAGGGCCAGGGAGACAGCTCAGTGGCTTAAGCACCTGCCTGGCAAGCACAAGGATCAGGGTTCGATCCCTGGTACCACATGCTGTACTGGCCCCACCCCATGCAGGCCATGCCAGCCACTGAAACCAGGTGTGGTGGTGTATGCCTGTAATCCCAGCCCAGGGAGGCTGAGACAGGAGGATCACAAAATAAATTAATGAATGAATGATTTTTTTTTCAAAGTTTTATTGATAAACAGCAATGAGACAGTTTCAAATCAAGTCGGAAGTACAGTTTCAACAAATAATACACTGCATATATTCTTCTTAGTGGTTAATTGCTGTACAAGAAGTGGACTTGTGATCCTATTTACAAACACCATTAGAACAAATCATTCTATTCATTAAGAGAATGCAACTATATATCTATCCTAACCACTTTGAATACACAGATACAAAATGGACATTCATCGGTATACCCCATTTTTTCTAAGTTCCATTATTGAATATTATAGGTGTGTAAACTCAGCAAAATATTCTAAAAGAGTCCAGTAGCCCATAATAGCATTGGGTCTTCTGTTTAACTGGCAATGTCAGAAATTATTGACCTGAGTCCCCCACAGCTCAACTTAACAGCACTGAATGAATGATTTTTTAAAAAGAAGTTACGAGGAAGACTATTAGATGTCTCAACAGCACCACTGGAATCTGGAACACCATAACAGTGATCCCTCACAAAGAAAAAAGGTTATTTGCAAGGTGGAACTTCTATACTCAAAATATCAAAAAGAGAACCTGAAAAAAACGAGAACAGCAGCAGTCAGTAGGCCGAGCCAGTGACCAGCTCTGTGTTCCCAAAAGTGGTTCACATTGCTAAATTACCTAGACAGTGGTGAGCAATATACTGAGACCTTCTACAGATACACAAGGAAAAGCGCTAACAGACACTCAGAAAGCTAAGCCAATGGTGCAGCAAAAGGGCACGAGCCATTCCAGTAATAAGTAAAAATCTGAACAAAGAAGTAATCACTAAGCGGCAGAGCAGTCGGTAACACTCTATATGGACATTATAATGCACATATGGAATAAAAATATTTTTAATCATTTTTCAGAAGCACTATGACATTTAGAAAATTTTCAAAAATAGCTACTGCTTAACAAGTAACCATACCTCCTGTAAATTCTGGTCTTCTTGAGTCCAAGAATTTAAAACATGTGCTCCGGAATCGCTCACAATGAAATTCACCTAACAAATGTCAAAGGGACAATTAGTATTCAACTCTAATCTTACTGAATTACAATCATGTTTTAAAATAATACGCAATTTCTAACACAGGTCTGCCGTTCGATGCATTCGTTTCACAGCTACAGAGCACCGAAAGTACAGGCCAGGTGCTATCTCACAATGGCACTGGGGACCGGAGAGTGCAGCGAGGACTAACCCGGCTCTGTCCCACAGTGCAGGAGTCGCGGTGGGGAGCGAGGTGAAACGGCAGTGTAGAGGACAAATGAATGAAAACGGTCATCTCAGAGAGTGATAAGCGCCACAAAAAATAAATGGGTTTTAGATTGCGCAGCCAGAAATGGTTTTCTCCACAGAAGATTCATTGAAGGTCTCCGAAGTGACCAAAGGAAATCAGCGCTGAAAAGGCCAGGGACAGGGAACTCTAGGCACAACAAGAGGAGAAGCACAGGGCATCAAGTGTATTCCCTCAAGAGGGTAAAACTCAGAGCATGCAGAGGTAGGAGTTAAGCTCAAAGAGCATCAGAAGTCAGAGCACACGGAAAGCCAAACAATGGATATGGACTGTATTTTTTTTTTTTTTAACCAGGGATTGAACTCAGGACCTTGCGTTTGCCAGGCAGGCACTTACGCCGCTGAACTATATCCCCAGCACTGTATTCCAATTTTTAAAATAAAGTCCAAGGCCAGAGAGACAGCTCAGAGGCATAAGCACCAGCCTGGCAAGCACAAGGTCCTGAGTTTGACTCCAGATATGATTGATCGATTGATCGATCAATGAATGTAAAGTCCAAATAAAAAAAAAAAACTATCAGGGTTGGAAAATAATTGGTACAGCGCTTGCCTGGCATGTGTGAAGCACTGGGTTTGATCGCCTGCACCATAAAAAGTAAATAAATAAAAAATAAATAACAAATAGCACCAGGTAAAATGGTAAGAATGATAACGAACATATTACAAAGCATATCAAATGACGATGATTACTATGTTCCTTTTTGGGAAGAGGAAAAAATTTCTTTCCCCTAAACAATATAATCTAATTCATGGTCATTTTTCCTAATACCCGTGTAATACTAGTTTTCTTTCTTCAAGGAAAAAAATTTGATAACTGGCCTCATCTATCTTGGCTTATCTAACAAGATATACTTTACCAGCCATTTTATTTAGATTATCTCAATTAGATCCTACAACAAGGAAACAACTGTATGTTTACATGGGAAGATAATGAGGCTTGGAAAACTGAAGAAAAACAATCATTCAAGCATTATGGTGTCCAATGTTAATCTCAGCACCTGGCAGGCTGACACAAGATCACTGTGAGTCGAAGGCCAGCCTGGAGTACAGTGAGGTAAATGACAGCCTCAACTATTAGTCTCAGGAGAAAAAAGCATGGGGGGTGGGGAGTAAGAAACACAAACAAAGTCACATTGCTTGCCTGGGATTTGCATTTTCATTAAACTGTTAGACAATGTAGATGATCCAAACCCTCCACCCCCACCCCAGATGGGGTCACTATGCAGTCCAGGCAAACTCACAGCAATCAACCCAAGTACTGGGATTACAGCCATGTGCCACCATGCCCAGCTCAGATGCCAGGATCTGCAATGAAACCTGTGCCTTAAATCACGTTACTCCTCCCTCACTCTTACACCTCTTCACCAAATTTAGGAATTTCAAAAGATACTTATATTTAATTTGTAATGTAATGGCGTACATAATACTGGACTACATGTTCACCTCTGCTCTTTTCCCACCTAAGATCTGGTGAGGTCCCAGGCTAGGCAAAAAAGACAGGAAACATATCACCCACTGGGAGCTAATCAGAAACAAATTATCTGAGATACTTAAATCTAAAGATCACTTTAACACTTGGAGTTTCTACCAATCATCAATTTCTCTTATTGACAAAAAACAACTCTTGCTTAGCTTTTTCTTTTTTGGTACTGGGGACTGAGCTCAAGATAGGTATGTACGCTAAATATACCCTCCACTACTGAATTACGTCCAGCCCTTACTATGTAACTCAAGTTAGGTTTCTTCCTCTTCTTCTCCCCAGTTTCTACATCAACAACACAGCAGTAATATCTAACACAATGCCACAAGTCAACAAATTGCTTTTAGCAATGTTTCTTCTGCTTTGACTACCAACAATTCTCAGTGTTAGTGTGTCTGTTCATACCTTTGAGTGTTGGCCCGAAACCTACCTCATAGGATTGTTTTCAGAATTAAAAAAGGTAATAACATAAAGCACTTGGGAACGTGCCTTGAACATCTGAGTGGTAAACAATTACTGCCCCCAACGAAATACCTGTAACATATTAATGCCAAAGGGCAATTCTAAAATGGGCAAGGTAGTGAACGAACACTTTTAATCTCGGCTTGGCCACTTGGGAGGCTAAGGTAAAAAGATTGCTGTGAGTTCAAGGCTACCCTTACTATACCATCCTGGAATACATAGAGATCCTGTCTGAAAACAAAAGATAAACACCAGAACAAAGAGAATCAAACAGAAGTTCTATGTACTCTTTTTTTGGTTTGTTTGTTTATGGGACAAGGCCTTACTATGCAGTTCAGGCTAGCCTTGAGCTCACTTTGTAGCCCAGGATAGTCTCGAACTTGCAGATCCTCCTGTCTCAGCCTCCCACAATGCATGGCCTATGTACATTTTAAAGTAAATAAAGATTTCTAAGCCTAACTTTTTTCCAATACTGGGGATTGAAGCCAGAGCTTTTGTACTGAGCTATCTCCCTGACCCTTTTTATTTATTTTTTATCCTGAGACAGGGTCTTGCTAAGTTCCTCTGGCTTGGCTCAGCTTCCTAGTCTGTTTGGATTATGAGCATGTGCTACCACGCCCAGCTGTACACCAAATTTATACAAAATTCATATAAAGATTATGTATGCAGTTAGGTACACTCCCAAACATCATAACTGTTTGTAATCCACACTCACCAGCTTTTTGAAAGGAAATATATCATACATTATTCTACAGTACTCCATGGAAGATTCTACTGAGCAAGTCCACAATGATTTAGAGATGGGGGCCAACGGGATGATGCCTTGGGTCCTATTCTTCACCAGCATATCAAACTCGACATGCTGTCTGCACGATTCTGCCATGTAGGGGCAGTGATCCACAACAAACACCGTCTTATGCGATTCAGAAAAAATCTTCATTTTGTTTTAACCTGTATGAAGAAAAATAACACTAGTCAAACGTTGATATATCCTCACAATCTCGAATTATTTCTAAGGAACGTGTCTTTTCCTCTTGAACAGGAAGGGAACATGAACACCTTTAGAGAGGAAATAGGTCCAAAAGGTGACAAGATTTACTGGGGTCAGAATCAGCTGCTGCAGCAAAGCCCGGGCTACACCCTATCTTTCTGCCTCTTTACCAGACACATGCAAAATTACTGCCTTTTTCTTTTTGAAAGAACTTAAAATTGTCACACACACACACACACACACACAAACCCCAACCAACAACACATTTTTACATATAACTGCACTTGATTCCCTTACCTATACCAAACACAATAAACGCCATATACTCTTTAAATACCTTTTTGGTGATCCTTGCTAACTGACATTAGTTACATATAAACCTCCAAGCCAGCATTTTGGGATTCCCCCGCCCCCCCCCCAAAAAAAGGAAAGAAAACATTTGAAGACTTCGGAAAAATGCATTTGAGATGACGTGAAGGGGAGTTAACAGGAAGGAGGGACAGCAAAAGCAAAAGCCAAAACACCACATCTAATACCATCACTGCACACTGGGTCTGAGCCTTAGGCTAGAGACCTCCAACTCACACTCTCCCCCTTTGATTTTCAAACACCTCATAATTCACCATGTACAACAGAAAAACTTAGTCGCTACCTTCAGGCTAGGGAGGAGAAACTTTCAAAACTTTTTCTTACAAAAACGGAGCATATGGTACTCCCTCGCTCCGCTAATAAAATCTCATCCTAAACAGACAAATCCACACCCGAAAAGCACATGGTGAGCAGAACAAGTGTTCATCACAAACGGACTGTCTCCTCGTGACCCCGCTATTTCCTTCTGCGCTCAAAGGCATCCCTCTTCCGTGAAAAACTCTCCTCAAGAAAGCTTCTCGGCACACTTCGCCGGAGGATGGGGGTGGAAAGTACAAGATGAGTGGACGGGGAAGACCTCAGGATCGACGTTCGCTTACTTCCGTGCCTGGTCCTGCAGCGCAAACGAAGAGGCTGTGAAGAACAGCCTCCCTGGCACAGGCTGCGGCCCGGGCGCGCGGGGAGAGTCAGCGCGCAGCCAGGCGCGTCTGGTACCAAAGCCTGGGGACTACGTCCGCCCCGCTCATCTCCCCGCACACCGGTCCTGCCTACGCTTCCTAAGGCAGGCGCGCGTGCGTGCGTGCGCGTGCACGCACACGCTCGCGCACCCGGGCCCGCGCGTGCGCACAGCTCTCCTCGGCAGGGCCGCCGCGCGAGTCGACGACTGGGAAGAGGGCGGAGCCAAGTAGAAAAAAAAAAGTCCACCACTCGAGATTTTTCTACTCGCTAGTTTTCCCGATCACCCATGAGGAAGAACGTCCAGGCGACTTGAGAGTCTCCCCCATGGCCAAGTGTCTCCCACACAGCACCGGCGGAAGCGGCCAAACAGCCGCTCGGCGTAAGGCCCACCCGCCGGCCTCCCTTTCTTGGCCTCTCCACCCTGGTCGGTTGCTCCTGGCAAAACACGCGAGACTTCGCGAGAGGCCGAGCGAAAGTCTGGGACTGGAGACCCCCGGAGGGAGCGCGGAGGCCCCGCCCCTCGGAGGAAGTCTCGCGAGGTGGCGGCGCTCCGGGAGCGCGCGTCGGAGGCGTTCTACCGAGCTTTCCCCCCGGGCTGGGCCTGGGGCTGAGCCCCGCCGGTCCGCGGCCGCCTTCTCCGCGCGCGCTGGCGGCCGGGCCCGGTGTCTGCTCGCTGAAGAGGCGGAACGAGGGCACGGAGTCTTCTGTTGAGTGCGCCGGCCCCGGTTGGCGGAGGCAACTGACGGCTGCGAGGCGCCGCGGGGAGCGGAGTGAGTGCGGGAACCCGCGGACCGAGCTGCCGTGGGCGGGTCGGCAGCCTCCCTCGCCCGCGCCGCCCGGTGCCGTGCGCTCCGGGAGCCGGACCTCCTCTCCCGGCCCGAGGCGCGGAGCCTGACCCTGCAGACACGCCTTCCGCGTTTGTTTTCTGCCCGCCTAGCCCACCTGAGACCTCATGAGGAGAGCCCCTCTTCGGTCCTCACCCCTCCCCTTTGCAGCGTTTGTCACAGAGAGCCGTTGCGCCTTTCTTCACGCTGCCCTGCAAAAGGTATTTTTATTTTTTATTTTTATTTTTTGCCTCCTGTTTTTCTCCTCTGATCATGACTTCAGTCTCTGATCGGCTACCCAGACTAGGAGCCGCGCGATAGTCCTCGGTTCTGCGTCTCTGTTCACCGGAGACGCAGATTATTTCATCTGTACCGGATTATTTCATCTTTCCGCAGAGCTGCTGTGGTTGCCCTAACCCCACCCCACGTTGGTCTCCCCACCGTCGTCGTTCCGCAGAGTTTGCAATCTGAAATACTTGTTTTTAATCTCTTTTCGAAGTTTTTCCGATTCGGTGTTACTGGCAGAATCTAGTTCCGATCCTTGAGCGTATCAGTCATTTTACCTTTTTAATTCCACCTTGTTGCTTTCCTGAGTACTTTAGTATCCAAACGTACCGGACTACAGTACGTGCCCTGCGTTTTCACAAAGTCTCTACTTGGTACGTGTTGTATCCGTCTGTCGGAAATACTTTGTTCTCTGCTTCACCAGCTGTCACAACCCAGTGTACAGATCCGTATCTTCTCACACTCCTGCCAGTGACAATAGTACAGCTGTGCCCAAAGCACTAGAGATAGTTCTGCGGTATTTATTAAGATGTCTTATTTGCTCATTTATCTGTCTTTTCTGCCAGCCTAAACTTGAGTCTAGAATCATGTTTCACTTATCCATTGCTTGGTATGGCAAGCATTATTTATATCCTCTCCACATCTGGAAATATTACCACAGGAGTTTTTGGTCCCTTAAAACCATGGATTTTTAGAGCCAAAAGGAGCCCCCACGTATTAGCCCAAAGGCGGCTTATCTGTATGGAATATAAGCGACTACACTGCCAACCCATGCAATTCTACTTTTAGTATTTCAGTTTATTTATAATGGGGGGAAGTCTCTCTCAATGATTTTGCATGTTAGGCTGCAGACAGTGCTGGTTGTATGTGCGCTTGTGCAACTCTTGACAGGCTGTCTGGCCCATAGCTTAGAAATAACTGCTTTAGATTAGAAGCTTTTGTTTAGCCACAGTTGTAAGTGAACACGCACGTTTTCTGTAAGTCCTCCATTGACGGCTGGATGTCGTGGCAGCCAGCCTGTAATCCCCGCAATGAAGGAGGTTGAGGTAGGAGCATCTCAAGTTCCAGTCCTACCTGGGCAACCCAGACCATCGCTAAATACAAAAAGAGGCAGGGAGGACATAGCTCAGTTGTGAAGGGCCCCGAGGTTCTTGATCCTCAGTACCAAAAAAAAAAAAAAGTTCTCCAGGATTCTTTCAAATTCTGTTCCTTCCAACTTTAAAAATTCTATCTATCTATCTATCTATCTATCTATTTATTTATTTATTTTGCGGAACCAGGGATTAAACTCAGGCCCTTGCGCTTGCCAGGGAAGCGCTTATTCTATTGAGCCATCTCCCTGGCCCCATTTCATCTTATTTAGAAAGCTGTTTCAGGGCCAGGGAGACTAAGCAGACTAAGCACCTGCTTAGGCATGCACAGGGCCCAAGGTTCGATCCCCCACCAGCACCACCACATGCTGCTCCCCTGGGCAGGCTGAGCAGGCCACTGAGACCAGGCATGGTGGCACACACCTGTAATCCCAGCACTGCAGATCCTGCAAACAACAGGATCACTACAAATCAAAACTGCATAGTGAGACCCTGCACCAAATACATACATACATACATACATGAAAAATAGCTGCAGATGTATTCATTCCATCATTTTTAAGGACAGTTATAATTTTCAGGACTTTTAAGTAGTACACCTGCATAAGATTTTATGTGCATTGTGTATGTGCTCTTTCTTGATGTATTAAGTTTACAAGTTTCTCTGAAGGGGCTGGTGAGATGGCTCAGTGGTCTAAAGCACCTACTTAGAACAAGCTTAGCAAAGCACAGGCGACCGCGGTTCAATCCCCCAGCACCACATGCCAGCCAGCCCCACCCCCTGGTGGGCTGAGCTGGCCACACACACACACACACACACACACATACACACACACACACACACACACATAAATAAATAAAATTAAAAAAAAAAAAAGTTTCTCTAAAGGACCTAACTGAGCCTTTCAATTCTCTATTTTCAGGTGCCAGTTAGTATTGTCTACAAATTAGCATTAAAGGGGCTTGCCTGAACAGTACAATTTTTTAAATGAAACTCGATTGTTGACAACTAAAAATATTCTGTAGTGTGTTAGTTACAATATCTTTTTATGGGCCCAGCTAGTTATAGGATATTGAATTTGTAGCTAAGGGAAACACATGGTGCAAGAGACTGGAATTTCTTTAAAATTTTCTTAACCAAAATCTAAAAGTACACAGCTGGCAGTTGTAGTCATGGGTGGGTGGTGGTTTCTTTTTTATCAGTAGCAGAATGTTCCGTACCATCCATCTGTCAGGAGGCTGACAAAGTGGGCGAGAGTAAGGGCTAGTTTGGAGGAAAAGAGAAAAGCTCGTTTTTGAAAAGTCTCCTGTAATTTGTCCTATTTAGAGAAAATTAAGTAAGTGTGTTGTGGCCAGTTAAGACAGGCACTATAGGCTGGGGAGATTGCTCAGTGGAATAAGTGCTTGCCTGACAAGTGCAAGGGCCTGAGTTCAATCCCCGGTTCTGAAAAAAAAAAGTCTGAACTCCAGTCACGCCGCAACATCTCGTATGCCGTCTTCTGTTAAAAAAAAAAAAAAAAAAAAAAAAGACAGGCACTATAAAAATAGATAAACTGAAAATATAAGTCTCCCACTTTTTTTTTTAAAACTAAAATCTGTTTTTAAGAATTTGAAACATGTCAGAGTTGGAAAACTGTACTTCCTCACTCCAATTACTAGCCAAAAAAAGAAAGGGAAAGCATTTTTCAACAATGATGGCAAAGTAAATTCATATTATGAAGTGCTTTAAACATTTTATGTGTGGCTTCACATACAGGAAATGAACATGCAAATGCTCAGAAACTGCTTTTCTGAAAATATCATTGGTTTTCTGACATGTTAATAAAATTATGTTTTGAGTTACCTGCTGTTATAATTCCTTTCCCTAAATAGATAAATCTCTACACTTGAAATTTTAAATGTAGTTTATTTTGGTAGGAATTTTTTTATGCAGCCTACAGAAGATTTGTGAAGCAAATGTTAAAAATTTCTTTAAAAGCCCAAGAGTAAACATCCATTGCTTAATTAACAGATGCCTTGTTAAAAATAGTTGCTAGGTTTTTATAACCTGGAAAAAAAATTGAAATTTTGTTACCTTGAACATTTTCTCCATCTTCATTTCCATTTATTTCCTGTGGCTGGCTTGAAGTGAAAATTTTTTTTAATATCTTGGAAGTTCCATTCTGGGGTAGGGTGGGGAAAATTGTTTTGTTTTTCCATCTAGGGAGGTCAGGATCCTTTTCATGTAGGTGAAAGCAAATAGGGCTCTAGAGATCAAGCTTGGGCTCAAGAATAAAATGCTCAGCTGGAGAGTAGAAGTTCTATTTCTGGTACTAGCTTGGCTCTGTCATTCAGCTCCTTTTATTTGGGCACTTGTTCTGGTGCCAGATGACAATGTAAGAAGAGCTACCACTGCTTTGAATTGATTAAAATTATTATTTAGCAGATTGATTTTTATTCTAGACTGCTTTAGAGGGTTATTTGGATTCAGTTAGGTTGGAGAGAAAGCTAAAAATAGGTTGAACAGTTTATATCACATAGCAAAAGTTTATTTTATAACTACTCAGGTTGAAGCAGGGTGGGATCAGTGAGGAAACAAATGGCCATTTGAATGGGTTATGATGGAAGTTATCACGGTTGTAGTTGCATTTCTCTAATGGCTAATGTTGTTGAACATCTTTTTTATGAGCCTATTTGCTGTCCATGTATCTTTTTAGTTAAGTGTTAAGGTCTTTCGCTTATTTCAAAAATTTAAATGTTATTGGGTTGAGAGATTGTTTTATTATAGGTACAAGTCTTTCATCAGCTTTATAATTTGAAACATTTGCTCCCACTCTTTAGCTTGTCTTTTTAGATATCTAAACAGTATTTATTCCTGAGCAAGTTTGTGATGTTGATGAAGTCCAGTTTTATCAAATTTTTCTTTTATTAGTCATAATCTCAGTAGAATGTCTTAAAAAAATCTTTGCCTTACTACAGGTTATAAACGTTTTTATTTTTTTTTATAAAAGTGTCATACTTTTTAATTTTACATTTAGATCTATGGTGTGTTTTGAGTTAATCTGTGTATAGAATGTACAAATTAAAGTTAGGATTAGTTTTCTGGTATACAGATACCCAGTTCTTCCAACACCAATTGTTTGCAACATTTCTCCTTGACTCAGCTTTGTACCTTTTCAGAAATCATTGACTGTGTTTCTTTGACCTTGTTGCAGCATCTCTGTTTGTTCTGTCTCTGTCCTCAACTGTCTTCCTTACTGTAGCTTTAAGTCTTAACATTTGGTAGTGGAAGTTCTCCAACTTTATTTTCAAAATTGCCTTCTTTATTCCAAGTTCTTTGGATTTCCATAGCAGTTTTTCTGTAAAATGTCCTGCTGGGGATTGATTGGAAAGTGCACAAACAGTAAACAGGTCAATTGTAGTAAACTCAGGTCTCCATTACACAGAGCCTGCCAGTCTTTGAACATAATGTTTCTACACTTTTTCAGGTTTGCTTTAGTTTCTTTCATTAGCATTTTGTAGTTATCAGTATACAAATCCTACATGTATTTAAGATCAAGAGGGTTTTTTAAAAAATTATTAAAAAATTTTTTTGGGTTTTTTAATTTGGTTTCCAGTTTTTACTTTATAGACGACAATTGGTTTGTGTGCTTGTATCTTAAAAGAATTGCTAAAACCTTACAATATTAGTTCTAAGAGTTTTAAAAATTCTTTTCCAATCTATATTCTTAATTTCTTTCTTTTTTTTCCTTTCCACCATTGTCACATTAGCATGTTGCATAAGATTGATGATTGAAACATTCTTTCCTTGTTCTAGCTTTAGTTGGAAAGGTTTTTGATATTAAATATGGTGTTTGCTGTAGCTTTTTGTAACTGCCTTTTCTACCTCCTATAGCATTGTTTCTTATGACTTACTGATTTGAGTAACAGCTTTAGCAACACTAGATTCCTTATATCTTTTCTCTATAATATTGTTAAGATGGTGGATTTCGATAAAGGAGATCAGTCATGTGTTTTTCAATTGTGATTGTTTTCCTTACCTTCACCTTTCTTCCTTAGCTTCTTTTCTGGCTTTTGGGGAGCCATTTTGATAGCACTAATCAGAATGATTATATAAAGCTCCAACTGAAGTAATATTGACAGACATACTTTATGTTTCTCTGGCATTGTGAATCTTTGTTTACATCTACACAACTAGCCAACATTTGGGTTGTAACTTTATACTTTGGTTATAGGTTAATCCTAAAATTCCAGTCATAACCCAAGTTGTTTATATGTATGGTTTGTTGTAACTTGAGGATCCACTTTACTCTTAAAGCTATGCAACTACCACTAAATTTTAGGACATTTGAGTCACTCCATAAAGAAACCCTATGCTATTAATAATCACTTCCCATCCCCTCTCCTCTTCCCAATCTTCCTACCCCCTGCCACACTTCAGTCCTAGACATTCACTAATCTGTTTTCAGAGTCTGTGGATTTGCCTCTCCTGGACATTGAATAGAAACGGAATTATGTAACATATGGTCATCATCTGTGACTGGCTTCCATGACTTGGCCTAACTTAGCAGTTATCAGCCATGTGGTTACATGTGTCAGGACATCACTCCTCCTCTTTCCTGCCAAGCATTCCACTGTATTAGTCAGCTACATTTTGTTCATGAATCTGTTGAGTAGCATTTGGGTTAATTCTGATCTTTGACCATTGTGAATGTTTTTATTTTCTGTGTGTGTACCTAGGAGTGAAGTGTTTGGCTATGTTTAACCCTTGAGGAGGAGCTACCACACCGTTTTGTTTTCCAGAGTAGCTGTGCCAGCCTGGTGTGGTGCTGCATACTAAGTTCCAGCACTCTTGAACACTGAGGCAGGAAGATCACGCATTCAAGTGTTGGCTGGGGAATTTAAGTAACTTATGGCGGCACTGCCTTGAAATTTAAAAGTGAATAGGCAAGGACTGGAGCTATAATTCAGTGCAAAGGCCCTGGCTTCAGTTCTCAGATTCTTCAATTCTTCACTCTCTGCAGAGTGGCTGGATTGCAAAGTTCTTTGTCCAAAGTTCATTTATTTATGGCCCTGAGTTGGCTCTATACTATAGTTCTAACTTAACTTCTCTAGATCTAGCTTTTGGCTTAGGGATTTTATTTTTCTAGGAAAACCTCAAGAAAGGGTAGCTCATAAAACATTAGGTAAAACTTAGTAGAAAGAATAATTCAAAGAGAGTAAGTTTCAGAAAGTTGTAAATTCTTTCAAGACACTATTTTAAAGTTACAGTTTTGAGGTGTCCAAGGACCAGTTTGAGAAGTTCGCTCTCAATTACAGAGCTTTTTCCTGGCATCTCTGTTCTGTTCTCTATCTACATACCTTTTTATGTCAGTGCCATTCTGTTTTGGTTACTATGGCTCTGTAGCATGTGTTGAAATGAGGAGTTTTGATTTAACTCCTTTGCTCAGGGTAGTGTTAGGTACTTGGGTCCTTATGCGCTTCTGTATGGATTGTAGAATTGTCTTTCCTAATTCTGTGCAAAATATCATTGGAATGTTGATCGGGTTAATGTTGGCTATGTACATCATTTTGGAAGTATGGGCCTCCAAGTTTTTTACTCTTTGAATCCATACGCATGATGGCTCTTTCCATCCTGAACTTCTCAGTTTCTTTCATTAGTGTTTGATGATTTTTATTGTAAGGATCTTTCACATCTTTAAATATTTTCCTCTGTGTGTGTGTGTGTGTGTGTGTGTGTGTGTGTGTGTGTCTATGAAATGATTGATTTCATGATTTCTTTCTCTGTAAATTTGAGCTCTATGCATAGAAAAACTACTGATTTTTACATCCTGCTGAGTTCATTTATCAGTTCCAGTAGATTTTCAGTAGAGCATTTTATCAAGGTATTTTGCATCTGTGGTTTCTTTGTTGTTGTCGCCGTGTCCTTCTCAGACTTTGGTGATACAGTAATGCTGGCAGTAAGTGAACAGTCTTCCAACAAATGAAGCTTAAGAAGCATATCAGTATTAACATGAAATTAAAAGAAGGCAATGTGCTGACTTTGTTTGGAGTCTTGATTTTGGTTTTAATTGCAGGCATTGCTTTAGAAATGAGTTGCACAATTGAGAAGGCACTTGCTGATGCCAAAGCCCTTGTTGAAAGACTTCGGGACCATGATGATGCAGCAGAATCTCTAATTGAGCAAACCACAGCTCTCAACAAGCGAGTAGAAGCAATGAAGCAGGTTTGAGTTTTGTTTCTTGCTGAGTCCATGTAACAAAAGCAGTCCCTGTCCTTTAGGTATTGCTTGAATTGTAAACAACTGCTAAATTAGGAATTTTTCTAAAGCTCTAAGATTTTAGTGACTTCACTTGTATGTTTTACTTTAGAGTGTGTGTATACGTATATTATTTTTTGTTCTTTTCCTTTTTCTTCTCTTTCTTTTCTTGCGGTACCAGAGATTGAATTCAGGACCGCACTAGTTGTACTGAGCTATCTCCCTGGCCCCCTATATTTTTTCCCCCTTAAAACCTGTAAGGTTTTTGTTTTTGTTTTTGTTTGGCATTACTAGGGATTGATCCTGAGGATACCCTCTCTACGTCTGAGCTATACCACATCCCTTTTTATTTTTTAGTGGGAGATAGGGTCTCTCTTAAGTTGATCAGGCTGCTCCTGAACCTGAGACCTCCTATCAGTGTCCCAAATAACTCAGATTACAGATATATGCCACCATGCTCAGCTAAACTTGATAACTTTTTCAGACAGAGATGCACATGAGTTTAGAAAATAAATTAATTCTTTGGGTCTAAATATGTTTGACAAAGACTGGATACTTGTTCCTTATGTTAACACACATTTTACACTGTCTTACATAACGTAGAAATGTTTATGGTTTTCTTCAATAAAGGGTATCGGTGATTCTGTTTAATAGTCCAATCATTTTTTAAAATAATGTAAGGCATTATCAGGCAGTCTATACCCACTGCAGTTACTGCATTTATACTTTCTACCTTATTTTTAATGTTGTCAATTTAAAAAAATAACGTATTTTACCTCTAGTTAAATGATTCTTGCTCTACAAGTGTAACAGAATATTCTAATGGGCCATGGAGCATAAGCCTTCCTCTGATAAAAATGTTCAGCTCTTAAAACTGTATGATCTCTGATACTGCAATAGAAATCCCATCGGAAAATCCTCACAACTATTGAAACTTACTCATTTTATCAAGAAAGGAAGCAACCCTGCGATTAATGCTATTGACAGCACTGTGGAAATAGTGGAACAAATTTATTCAATGTTTTGGAACTGCATTGCCCTAAACAGGTTACTTACCTCTGTACTGCAGTTCAGCTCAGGCAGTCTGGTGAACTTATGCCCAATATTGACTTAGTTTTTGTTTTTGTTTTTGTTTTTGTTTTTTTAAAGTAGAGTCTGACATCTGAAGTTAAGAATTGAGAGAGTTCTGGTGAGAGGGTGCTGGTGCCAGTGGCACATGCCTGTAATCCTAGGCCTATAATCCTACACATGAAGCCAGTCTGGGCAATTTAGTGAGATCCTGTCTTAAAAATAAACAAATAGCCAAGGATATAGATTGGGCTTTCTGGGTTCAATCCCCCATCAACCAGAAGAGAAAAAGAATCAAGAATGTTACAGTGAATCCAATGCTAAGTGTCTGATAAGAATGCCTTAAAAGTAAATAAGTGTAATTTTTTTTTTTTTCCCCCAGAACCAGGGTTTGAACTCAAGCCCTTGTGCTTACCAGGCAAGTGCTTATTCCACTGAGCCATCTCCCTGGCCCCAATAAGTGTAATTTTAAAGTTAGATTTTCTCTTTGTTTTTGACGCAAAATCTTTGTATTTTTCACACTTACTCTTTTATCATTGTTCACAAAATTCATGCACTGTAAAATTTATTGGATTTTATTCACAGGCTGTGCAGCCATGATTACAATCTAATTGTAGCAATTTTCATTATCCCAAGCCCTTTATCTATTAGCAGTCTCTCCCTAGCCTCTACCCACATGCCCCAGTGTCCACTTTTCTCTTTGTGTTTGTTTTATTTTGTTTTGTTTTCGCGGAACTGGGATTGAACTCAGGCCCTTGCGCTTGCCAGGCAAGCACTTATTCTACTGAGCTATTTCTTTCTGTTTGTGAATTTGTCCATTTTGGATTTTTTTTTTTTTTTTTTTTTTGAGTGGAATAATACAGTAGTATGAGGCTTGTTGTGATTGACTTAACGGAATTTTTAAAGATTGATCTATGTATCAGTACTTCGCTTCCATCCATCCTTCGGAGGGATGCAGTGCGTTGTATTTATCCATTCTGTGCATATTTATTTACAGGGTTTTACATAGACATGTTTTCATTCCTCTTGGGCTTACAGATAGGTGCAGAATGGATGGGTTACATAATACTTCTTTAGGAGGGTTTGTTCACTTATTTACATTTATTCATAGATCAAATAAAAATTTGCAAATATTTTTCTCACCTCATGTTCTTTTTTCATGTTTTTATTAGTATCAGGAAGAAATTCAAGAACTGAATGAAGTTGCAAGACATCGACCACGGTCTACATTAGTTATGGGAATCCAGCAAGAAAACAGACAAATCAGAGAACTGCAACAAGAAAATAAAGGCAAGATACAGTATTACTGTGTATAGTATTTCAAAAGAGAACTTTAATCTGTAGTTGTGCTATTGGTTTGGGATTAATTTATTCCAAGGTAGAAAAAACCAGCCATCTGAAGTTACTTTTTCATAGCAGTATCATTTCTATTCCATGTGCCTAAATCATATTTATTACTTTTTATCCTGTTCTATGTATGGATGGCTGCCTTGGTTGGCATCTTCTTGGATTCTAATCCTGAACATTGAGCTTACACCATTGTTGTTATCTATGAAACAATTCAGCATCCTTTTCTGCAGCCCCACTGCTTGGCCCCCAGCATAGGCACTCATAATGTGTTGCTTGTACTATCCTAACTGTCCTCCTTGATTCTGGTCTCACCTTTGTCCATCAGCCTTCAACACAAGCATCTGATTAATTTTTCAAAAATAAATCTGGTCATGCTACTCTTTCGCTTAAGAACTTTCAGTGCATCCTACTTCCTTACCAGGGGCCTTCAAAGCCACTGCTCAGCCTTCTTTCCTGTCCCCACAGCTCTTCCTGTGCTTACTCTCCTTAACACACCATCCTGTTTCGTGCCTCCTTGCTTAGAATGGTTATTCCTTCATTTTTAGCCCGTGGAACTTAAGGTCTCCTCATCTCAGCCTTGTACACTTTTTTTTTTTTTTTTTGGTACCAGGGATTGAACTCAGGACCCAGTGCTTACCAGGCAAGCACTTATTCTACTGAGCTATCTCCCCAGCCCATAGCACTGTTCTTCTATGAAGCCTTCCCCAATTCCTCCCAGCAGACTTCTTAAATATACTTGAGTAGCTCTTCACTGTGCCCTTAACTGCATGTTGGTTTTTTTGTGAGACTCTATAAACTCTGTGGCCTTTAATATTCTTAATAAGCAAGAGCATTGTCTGATGTTTAATTGCTCTTCAGCAAATGTTGAAATGATTCCTTAAAAGAGAGTGTATACCAGGTGTGGTGGTACATTCTTGTAGTCCCAGCAGCTGGGAGATTGAGGCAGGAGGATAGTGAGTTTGAGGACATTCTGATCTATATAGCTATGCCCTGTCTCAAAATAATAAATGAATAAATAAAATGATGATTTTAAAAACTAATTAGGGAATTAATTTGATGACCTTTATATGGCTAGACTTTGGTCAATTATGTTTTTTTTTTAAAGCAGTTGGTGTTTTGATAAATATAATATAGCAAAGGATATGTTATGTACCTTTAAATCAGATTTGAATAAAATACACTGTTATTCTTGATAGAGTTGCGCACATCCCTGGAAGAACATCAGTCTGCCTTGGAACTTATAATGAGCAAGTATCGAGAACAAATGTTTAGATTGCTAATGGCTAGCAAAAAAGATGATCCGGGTATAATAATGAAGCTGAAAGAGCAGCACTCCAAGGTAATACGTTCAGTAAATGGAGATTTGAGGTGGAAGAGAGGCCCACTGGTTAATTTGTGACCAGATTTTAAAGAGAATGAATAGTTCTTTAATATCATTTTAACCTGATACTGAACACTTCAGCTTTTTAATTGACATTTTCTCCTTTTTCTTTCACACATTTCTTGTTCATTGCATATCATTTACTGTTTGATTTATCCTCTAACACATTGTTACTCACTTTAATATATACAGTTTATATTAAAAAACAAACTTTTGGAATTAAAGGTAAGTTTTTCAAATCAAATTTATTTTTATAAGATTATCTGCTTTTGGCCGGGGAGATGGCTCAGTGGAATGAGCACTTCCCTGGCACACACAAGGGCCTGAGTTCAATCCTTGGTTCTGCCAAAAAAAAAAAAAAAAGATTATCTGCCTTTAAGAAGTATCTATTCCAGTAAATTTGTGTAACGACATTGGTTACAAAACAAAAATTGAAATGCTAAAAACTTTTTTAAAATCCGTAAATAACCAAATGTAGATTTTTTTTTTTTTTCTTAACACCATTTTCTGAATGAAGCCAATTCATCCAGGTGGCTGATGACTCTGATTACAGTGGAACAAACATGGGGAAGAGGAGAGGAAAGGCACCCTATTAAAATTTGCCCTCTCCCCAGTGTTACATGCCAGCTGACACTATGTTTAGACACCGATGACACGGTCAGAAACTGCTGGTGTTTTTCTAGCCACTCTGTCATTCCTGTGTTTGCTCCCTTTGGTTGCCCCATGTTTGTTACCAGCAGTAGGAAAACAAGTAATCTTTTCCAGGTACATTTTAAACTCAGTTTTAACTGTTGGTATGAAATAAACATTTGGCCTACCTTCTGTGATCACTAAGACAGAGAATTAGGTGGCTAGGCCGTCATCTGAATGATTAATGCTAAGTTATTACTAATATTAAGTGATTTTTATGAGACAGTTTTATCTTTCTCAATTATTGAAACACTAAATTTTAGATTTTTCTCTTTCTACCTATTTCTCTCTTTTCTTCCTTTTTTTTTTTTTCTCTCCCTAATGCTGCATCAAACCCAGGGCCTCACGCATACTAGGCAGATGTTCTTCCTCAGAGCTACATCCCAGCCCATGTTATAGTTTATTTAAAATATGTCTTCAAAGCATTTTGTTACTTGAAGTTTTTAGATTATTATTACTTCTGTTAGAATTAAATACCTAGGAAATAGCTCTTGGTGTAACATCTTTACATTTTAGGGAACTTAATAGATGCCTTTTGTCTCAACTATTAAAATAATAAATTATTAAAATTGGGTTTAGTATCTAATCATAATATCTTTACCAAGTGGAAGTTCTTGAATCTCTAAGTGATGATCTTTTGATTATAAAATGTTATTCATGATACCATTATAATTAAATGTATAAAGGGATATAGAGGAGCTGACTTAAAATTATTGCTAGCATAAACATTTCAAAAGGCCCTTATAACTTGAAAAATAAAAATCTGCAATTTAAAGGGAAGAACACCATGACTAAAAAGTGCTTAGAAGCAGAGAACTTAGCTCTTTAGTCCCGTGTAGAAGGAACGTGACAGAAACACACTGGGGCCCAGGTGTAGCTCCGCGACAGAGCAAGTGCTTAGCGTGCATGGGCTCCAGCGCCAGAAATCGTGAAGGAATAATTAAGTAAAATGCATCAGGTGGCGTATTCTCCAGAGCCGTTCTGTGATTAGCAAAGTTAAATGTCCTGCGACCGCTAAAAACCATCCATTTCATTATATAAATTGAGTTCACCTTGCCGTCCATAAAATGACTATTCAGTTACTTGCTATTAATTCTAACTAATACATATTAATGTTTGTGGTTTTGATTTTTCCCAAAAAGGAGATACTCTCACACAGTAAACATTTATTCACGCTTGCCCTGAGTTAGCTGTTGTGGGTGATGACAAGGTGAATAAATTGTAGCGCTACACAAGCATGCAGTGCTGAGGAGCTACAGACACACTTGAGTGGAGGAGCGCATGGTGGCAGCTCATAGCAGTGTTGGTGCTCTCGAGAAGTTGGAAAGTCAAGGAAAGAAAGAAAACGGATCCAGTCTTATGTGTAGGAACTAAGTTTAGTAAGCAGAAACAAGATAAAGGCACCCAGGCGTGGGCTAGACTCTAGGGTATGTTCAGGTGCTAGAGCTCTGATAAACCTAAACACAGTAACAATTTTATAACATGCTTAGAGGTAACAAATGGGTAACACATCACCATTTTGGAGTAAGAGTTCCTTTTGAAATTACTGTTAATATAGAATTTTGTTCTCACTTAGAAGTTTTTGAGTTCATACTTAATAGAACTGCCAGGCAAGGGGGCACATACTTGTAGTCTCACCACTTGGGAGGCTGAGGCAGGAGGATCATTGCAAGTTCAAGGTCAGCTAAGGCTACAAAGTAAGCTCAAGGTTAGCCTTAACTGCATAGAGAAACTCTGTCTCAAAAGACAAAAATAAATAGATTCAATAGAATTTATTTTTATCCCAATCCTTATTTTAACATTTTTAACAGCTGCCTTTTTGGAAATCTTAAAAAAACAAACATTTCACACAGTTGGCTAACACGCATGAACTAACACTCATTCATCTCATAAGCAACGGATAAGATCCGTATTAACATTATAATGACTCTGTACTACAGATTGGCATGGTACATCGTAACAGCTCTGAAGGCTTCTTCCTTGCTGCACCTCGACACATCCTTGAAGCACCTCAGCACGGACTCGAGAGGAGGCACTTGGAAGCAAATCAGAATGTACCCTAAAAAACAATCAACTTGGGGTGTGGATGGAAGGGGGGCCCATTTAAAAATTATTTTACTTTGAAGTTCTGCCCCAGAGTAGATCAGCAAATAAATCCATTAAAAGAGTGCTGTGCTTTTGATACCCCTGCCTATTCAGTGGGAAACTTTAAATTTGTCATTGATTCTCTGTGTCATGCATAGTCTGATATATGAACTGTGTTCAGGGTCTCACTGCCAGATCGGACTCGTAGTGTTCCACCTGTTTACAGCCTCCCAAGAGCTGGGATTACAGGCGTATGCCACCACGCCCAGTCTCAATTGCCATCTCAGTGTGCCCCAGGGATTGAACCCCTGGCCCCTGCTCCCTGCTTGCAGGTACTTTAATCCGCTGAGCTATTTGGCTAGCCCTAGACTGAATCAAAGATGTTGAGCCATCAAACTATTAATGAAATGTTTTCATTTAGATTTTTAAGTCCTTTAGTTTGAGTTTACAAGTAAAGCAAAGATGCCTTTTGTTTAGACATTATAAAATTGAGAATAATATTGCTCTTAGGGTATTTTTACGTAAAAAAGAATTAGATTGTGGCAGGTCTTTTATTGAATAAGTTACACTCAACTTAGGTGAAAGTTCGAAATCAAGGCATCTCTCTACCGCTCAGGGATTATGTCGCTGACACTTCTTACCTTCTGACTGTCGTAAAGTCATAGTTCTTACCTTTTGTTCCCATTAAAAATTGTGGCCTCTTCTCTAAAGATTTTATAGTTAAATTAGTCACTAACTGGGCCTATAAAAATACTTTGCATTTGGACCCTTAGACTTTTTCATGTGTTGATCTTGTTAAAAACAGATTCTGCCCTAAAAAATTAGTTCTTCCTTACATTTGAAGAGCAAAGAAGCACTTGCTGCTTAGATAACTTTTAAGCCTGTTTTTAGCCACAGGACTGACCAAATCCTAAGTTGAGAAAACTTGACATTTAAATTTTTAATTTGTTGCACAGTCAGTTTGCTGCTGCAGTTATCTGCGTTTATATGCTTATAAATATCCTTTTACAGTGGGAGGGAGTTTAATGATATGGAATTAACATGGCAAATTTTGTCTTGATAACGTTTTTGCTAATATATAATGTAAGCCAAGACTGATAGACCGTCCTGAATGCGGGCAGTGTTATTCTTTCACTGTGGGATGTGGCTATTGAGCATGAACAAGTGTCCTCAGTGTGACTGAGGATGGACTTCTAAACTAGAGTTGATTTTAATGTTAATAGCCCCGTACTGGGCAGCACAGGAGTCTTCTCTG